TATACAATGTAAAAAGTGAATACTTATTGCAGTTGCAGTCAGTACATGAAAAGTTATGATAATTTAAAGAAACATAAGAAAAGGTTATATCATATCATCAATTAACAAGAATCGAGAAGAAGCCAAAACAAAGAGAAAGACATAGGAACTCTCTTCACAAGTAAAGATAATGGATAGGTACCATCTATCACGCCATCTCTATCAAAACATTCTGTGGAGTACATATCACGTCAAAACACACACAAATTGTATCTCAAGGTTGATAAATCACAAAATCAGAAGCCGCGGAGACATCAAAACAGATATAATTCAAGTTCTTATTTTTCTGAAGAACTTTTTTATATGTATCCTATCCCTAAATCTATTGCCGAATCCCTATTTAACGGCAAATTTTCTCAAAAAATGAAAGCAGGATAGCAAGGTTTTATATATTTCTGAATGTGAAATTAAAGGGTCTGTCAATTTCCGCTTTGTTTTTAAATGTCCCTGTTTACATGAATATCTATACATTTTTCCGCTGGAATACCGATGATCTGTTGAAACATATACTATAACATTTTCTGTAAGTATATAAAAAACAAAAATAAATAAACTTTATTTACTTTACAACAGTTATGAAACAAGTTATTTCAACTTATATTAATCACTCTTGTTTTCCCGGATGTTAGCGCGCGGGGTGTCTTGTTGCGGGAGGAAACCGGAGTACCCGGAGAAAACCCACGTGCTCGGGCAGGTGACCCCATACCTTTTCTCGTCCGATCGGGGAATCGTACCCCGGCCGCCTTGGTGAAAGGCAAGTGCACTATCAACTGCACCAGCCGACCACCCATATATAAAAAATCTTTCTAACTGTGTGATGAATAATAAAATAAAGCTTATTTGTATTGATAAAACATATCGGTATTGCGTACCAATATTACAGAAAGGGCTGAAGTACACAATGTTTGAGAATTCGAAGTGACTATAGAATTTGTGGTATACAAAGAAGTATTTTAAATAATAAAAAAAGTAGCTCTAATACTCAAATATGTGCTCTAGTCTGTAACGTATTATTTATCAATGCTAACCAAACACATTTTCGTGTCATGTTTGCATTAAAACAAATCAAAGTTACCTTAAGCTTGTATGCCAGCTTTTCATTCTATACCATGTCGGGATTTTTTGGTAAGCACGTGTTGTTTTCTTGTATTATTAAAGATACAGTTCTTCATTATTATTACTAGAAAGAAGTCATTTTATGACGTTTCATAATTGAAAAACCTGTCACTGACTATACCTTGATTTAATTCATTGAAATGTTTATTTTCATGACAAGGCCTCATTAATTTTAATTTATTCTCTGTAACCAGGTAACACTCATGTTTATAATTGTATTTAACTGATCAAGGAACAGAACATGTGAATAATTTGTCTTAAACGTGAAGTTTTCTATCTACGTAATGATCAGTCTGGTTTTAAAATGTGGTGTAAATCTTTTTGAGAGTTATCTCCCTTTGAGTGAATGGATGAGTGTATACAAAGGGGAGGGGGCTTTCTGTGAGGACTAGGTAAAAAGACGCGTTCGGAACTCATACAGATGGTCACTACTGCTCCATGCTGATCTGTGATGAGATCTTAATAGCTTTTGCCGTTATCAGGCTCTGTGCTCAGCACAATCTAAGGACCGTCCAATCAGATTCGAGATTACATTAAGATAAGGGATCGCCTACGGGGAGGTTCAACAGCGGCGTTCCTTCCCGGTGGTCTAATTCTGATCAACAGTTGTTTTCTCTTTGACCGAGATTTCCGTTAGATTATTCGCTGGTGGTATAGTACTTTTCGAGAAAGTCTGTGAATTCAAATTATGAGGGCGATATATATTTCGTTTGCAGGTTGAGTGATAAACTTTTTATCTTAAATCTCACGATCTAATTATGGGAACAGCATATATGCATGCTACAGTTACTTTGGTGCATAAGTATCCTATTCCGTCTTTGCGTATTGCAGAGTTATCTGCTCTTGTGAGCAGGTACTGATTGTTAAGTTATTTGTTTGTGAGAGTAACGTCATCTATTTTGGAAAAAAACGACGTTATTTTCTCACACAAACCAATGACGTAACAATCACTACCTGTTCACAAGAGAAGATAACTCTGCAATACGCAAAGAATATCGTGATTTGTTATGTAAAAACAAAAAATGAAAAAATACGAGAATCTTACATGCACTTTTTTATCCAATGGTCAATAAAGTTATTTAGAAGCATTGGATTCGTTCATAGACCTTACACTATGAAACTGATATTCCTGAATATTTGTTCGTGCCTGGCTAAAAATAGGTTACATTCTAATTCGAATAGTTCGCCATGTTCGGAATGCATCCACATATAGATTGTCCTTCAATTCGGATAAGTGTTTAGCTACTTAGTAGAAAAGTCAAAATTATGAATTCTGTTTGAGTTGGATGTAGATGAAAAATTTCCTTATTCGTAAAAAACGTAACTGTGCCGAAATGTAATTCAAGCAGTCTGTGTGAGCTAGACAAATCTCTATACAACGATACAGCTACATATATTGTAACTGTGAACTTAAACATAAGAGAGTATTGATGTAAAGGAACGTAGCTGATGTATTCCATCCTCAGACGGTTCTTCATGTATTGTGACTGTCTGGAATTTAGTTAGTAAAAAAATGAAGAACAAAAAAATATTGTTAATATGGACATCTAAGTGAGAAAACCTTTCGCTTTCCCTTGAGAGGTGTATCATGTTTAAAATTTTGAATACTTTGAATCTTTAGTTCAATTACAAATTCCTAATATCCTCCTACAGACCTTACCTCAAATGTTTTTGATATGTGCATCACCTTTGCAAATCCGATATATTTTTATTTGGATTATACATATAAAGTCTATAAATGGCCGTGTTTGTTTGTGTTGCTATCGTGTAGTTATTGTCTCGCCGTCACGAAGTGGAAAAGAGTCTGTTGCTTTTCCGGCGACGGCGACGTCAACATTAAGTTTTTGCGTTTAAGATTAGTTTCTCTGAAAGTATAAGTGCTAAACCAACCAAACTTAGACCAAAGATGCATCTTAGGTAGTACATCTCAACCCATGCATCAAATGCTGGATGCGCCCTACTTTTCATGGTCCATTGACTTTGTCAGCATCTCCATCAACATTACGTTTTTGCGTTTAAGTTAGTTTCTCTGATATTTGCATTGATGGTCAAAGCGAGGCATAGGGGAGACATATCAATCTGAATGACTTGTAAAACTATGATGGGATAAGGCGGTAAAGAATTATAATAACATGTGCTTGTATTCAGTAATTAAAATTATGTTTGGCAATACACTTTGTTTAAACTGCAGTAACTGTGCACTGTATAGTTTTTTATACGGCACATTGTAACAGACCTGTCTTTATATGGTCATGGCTAATTTGAAACGCCAAACATCAAACAAACAAACAAACAAACAAATTGCAGCAGTGAATAGTGATATTTGCAAAATGTCACTTTTTCTGTAAATTAACCTCGCCCAAAATGGTACACTATATACATGTATAAACCAGGTTTTTGAACCATTGTTTATTTTTTTCATTTGTGTACCGATGGCTACAAAGTTCATGTTTATAGATATCATACAATCGTTATATTGTAAAAATGGACATTTTTAAAGGGGCTGGTCGGGGAAAAAAATACAAAATAAATGGGTCTAAATGCGTTCCCTGGCCTTCTAAAAGCTATACCACGGCAATATGATGGTCGAGTTCTGCTTGCAATGTCCAGGTTTGACCACTGAAATTTCGGGGAAGCCCCGCGTAAACTTAGCGCAGATCTATTTAAATATGTCACGTGGTTGTTTCGAAAGTGTGGCAGGGAAGATAACAACAATAGCACGCCGGCATGTGCCATGTCGGACTCAACTAGTGGACAAGACAGCAACACTATACGTAAATAATTGTTTTCAAAGGTCATGTATGATGCAAGTGTAGTATTCCTACCTACATGTATATGCTGTTGTTATATATAACGGTATTGATACATCGTGCCTGTCATGACTTTTGCATGCATCTTTTTCTTTCGCCGCGATGTTTACATTTGGCCTTGTTGATGATGCGCGTGCGGTAAAATTACATCACTGATCTGGGTCAATTGAGAGTTTTAGACTGTCAGGTGAGGATTTAGGATTTCTTTAATATAATTATATTTTTTTGCTCTTAGGGAGTGAATTTCAGCGAAATTTGTATCGGTATATTTCATAAGAAGGTATTTTAAACATGTGTATGCCATTTTAGCAAATATGACATTTTTTCCCCGACCAGCCTCTTTAAGCTGTGGAAGTGTTCGCGTTTTTTCGCGTTCATTAAATCATTGCGAAAATGTCCAACATTTTGACCTCCAGTTATTTGTAATAAAAAAGGTTTTAACTGAAACCGTCATGTATGTGCACCATTGTTCGTACTACTTGTATTTACGTCATAAATTTTAAGATAGTTTGTCAAAGTTTCATTACCAATGATAGTCTGGTTCCACGCTGTGTGATCCTCTGTCCAGTTTTGTAAGAGAAGCGAAAAACCAGTTTCTTTTTTTCCAGATCTAGTCATGTTACTGTTACATAGTCTGTGTATTACTGTAGCACGTGCTGGACAAATGTAATTCTCCAGAAGAATTCTACAACAGATGGGACAGTCTCAGCTTCATTCTGACACACGGTGTTTTCATCAAGTCCGCGAAGATATTGTGGCGTTGGTTAGTCAGAGGTAATTTCCCAGAAGTTCTTTTAGATGTGAAAGTCTTCGTTTTATTCTGATATGGTGGTTTTATATAAAAAGGGCGTTAAAAATTACCTTTTGCATTTAGCCGATATATATTGATTTCAGAATTTTCCCACGGTTAATACTCCTTTTTTAATGGTTGATCGATTTATGTATTCACCTCATTGCAAGATTTTAATTGTAAAACTGTGTATTGTTTTAACATATTGAGACTTTTGCAGATAAAAAAAATAACACAAACACATGTAACTGTAAATACACAATATTTACACATAATTTTACAGTAATAACATAAAAATCTCAATGTATCGTATCACCAATCAATGTGTTAAACACGACCCGTAGTGACCTTATCCTAACATAGAATTAAAGTGGGTAAACTCGAAAACCACAGAACTATATCACAGTACTACACGTACTATACAACTTAAGGGCGTATGCTACCTTTACTGAAACGCGATCTTCTTTCAAAGTTTTCTCAAAATGTTAAATACAAATCTTTTCTTTCGCAATCTAAAATTATTGGCATGAGGTCAAATTCATCAGTATGACTTAGAATAAAATATTGGTAAACTGATTGGCTTATTAAAAAGTCATCAAAACATGAAATAAAACCGTTTATACTTATATCACGACCTGATAAAAGTCAAGTAGCGTCACATATTTTTTTTTATATAACATCGTAAGATTTAACTCTAAAAAGGTGTGCGCATATCAAGCTTGACTTTATTCACGATAACATGAAATTACGGATGATGGACATAAAATATGGAAAAAAAGTATAACACGGTAAAACCTCGTTATACTGCCATCATTAGCTCGGCAGCATTGGACGTTATAAAGGGGTGTTTTGATATAATGAAGGAGATGTTTAAAAGCATCATGAAAAACAAAAGGAGAATAGACATTCAAATCCTTTGGCGGTAAATGAAATGAGGGCCATAATATCGAAGAGTAACTGTGCTGTGATAAACGAGAATTGAGGTTTTACTTTATTTAATATGACATGGTACTTGCATGTCAAGAAAAATAGAACAGTGATAAAAAAAACCCGTCGAAAATGCTCAGTTTTTGTCTGTTTGACAGATCTGTAATAACATTTCAGTAAGACATTCTGCTTACTAGCTAAATATTTCGAGTTCGAAGCTCGTGCATTATATTGTTAATCTTATTGTGTGCTTATCACCTATATTCACCAATATTATTATACTGACCAAACACAGTCAAACCGCGATATAACGTCCCACATTTCACTGGCTATATTGTTTATTATAATATCGCTAAACCCTCTTTATAACGCCAAAACAAATGCTGAAAAATGATGGCAGTATAACGAGGTTTCACTGATGTGATTGCGTCGCTTTATGCAAAAATACAGAATATTGTACCACTTGACAGCATGGAGACAAATATAAAGTAAATGATCAACTTTCTGTTTACCGTGGGATCTCTAAATATGTAGATGATCGGTGTTTTTTTTAAATATCGATGGCGGTTCATATAACTTTAAAAATCTTGAATGTATTTATTTGCATGCATGACGTAAATGAATACATGTACAACGAATAACCAAATACGAAACAATGGTTCGAGATGTATATAACGATATATTGATACAATATAAAGTTGCCCTATTAAAACTTACAAATATTGTTTGGATTCATAGTTTGGATAATTCACGGGACAACAAATTCTAAATAATAATTACGATAATTTGTAATTGACACTTGCACATACAGTATACGACGGTTTTTTTAAAGAGTGAAAAATCAAAATTTTACTGCAAAGTATTTTGTTAGTTATGCAGCTGATGTTTAATAGTTTGTTTAAATACACATACATGTATTTATATTGTTATTTCAGTGACCTTTTCGTCACATTTCTGTCATCATTGCGCTGACATGATTTGTGTGCACATTTATAAGGTCATAGACCCCTAGCTTTTTAAGTGCCGGCCTGTTCCACAGTAAAACCCAATATCTGACGTTCCGAACGAACCACGAGTGTAGACATCAGATAAACAATGGCTGATTTTGAAAGGTAATCAAAGCCATCTTAATTAAACAAACCACACTGTTTGGCGTATATTTTGCCAAACATGATTCGAGTTTCTGTATATTATATTTGTTTTGCGAGAAATATATTTCCGCGGTTTCCTGTGCGGAAGATTTGGTCGCGCATTTAAAAATCTCTGATAATTTGTCCCGACACATTTTGACAAACAATATCAGTTTGTAAGCTGCGAACTGAAACTCATGCGAGTAGTTCGTTTGAATCACATCAATAATCGTAAAAACATTGCTCGCAAAAGCTACTGCATACCGGGGAATTTTCGCTGCAGTTTAATTTTCGCCTTTCTGCCCTTTGTAACGAGGGCGAATTCATCATTACAATGAACACATGGAAACAAAATAATTAACAAAAAAAACTAAATGTGAAAGACGAAATAACATGTACTACTTGGCGAGTAAGGATTTTACCAGCGATGAACGAAAGTTTGCAAGTTCACAGTATAGAGTATAGGATTTATATAAGACATTTCGTATGCTTGCTTTGTCGCCGGCGCAAAGATGCCAGGCAGCAAAGGGAAATGACAAAAATACGAAAAGGCGTCAACGCAAAAAAAGAAAATATTAAAACCTGCCAAAACGAAATTACCAAATGACCAAAAAGCGTCTATTCTATAATGTTATGATGCTATGAGGAGGGGAGAGAAGACGTCACTTTTTTCTTTGCTTTTGCTTTTTTTCGCTTTGGCAGAGCTTTAATTCTACTTGTTGGTGTTTCGCTTTGTCGATTGGAAAGTGGAAATGTGATATATGAGCCACCATATTTACGGCATTTGATAAAAGGTCACAGTGAACAGACAGAGTAATTACGTACACTGTACTTAATGTATCTCAAATTGAACGATAGGGACATGAGAAGCATCATTCACAGGGACATGAGAACCACCATACAGGGGCATGGGAATCACCATTCAAAGGAACATTGGAACCATCATACACAGGGGCATGCGAAAAAATATCTGTAAGTACAGTGAGTGTTATTGTTGAATCATTCCGACTGTTGATGTTAACTCCAACAACACCTAATAACACTCCTTGCACATCCGGAGATGTCCAAAAAATCACGTTTCTTTGATTATCGGGCCCCTGTGTGATCTCAGACAGGATATACTGAAATGTACTTGTACAAACACACATATGTTTCGTGTAATAAACTTTGTATGGCCGGATGGAAGGTCAGTGAACAGTGTATATCAACATTCCAGTGAAATACCTAGACAATAATTACGCCCTGAACCGACCACAACAAAAGTTTCCGCCATACATTAGTATTATCAGATGCCAGATTCAGATAAAATGTACTCTCCGGATTTTGATATCTAATCTATGTTGACCTTTGTACGGACTGTATCGGTTTTTACTGTTGCTTGCAACCCATACAGAGTACATGAAACATTTAAGTGCACTGTTTAGCATGTTTGTGAACATGGATAATGATTGTATAATATTTGTCCTTTTGTTATCTATTTCATATTTCATATCTGTCATCCCTTTCGTATATCTTTTCAAGTTGTAATTTTATGATACAATGCATTTATGTCGTTTACAATGCACTATATAACTCCTCGATATAGTGCCTTTCGTTATATTTTACATTTCGGTTCACACCAACTTTTATCAAGTTTCCATTTTTTCTTTAACAACTTCTTTATACGTCTTTTCCTATATATTGCCAAACCCCTTTATAATGTCAAAATATATTTGGGGGAAATAATGTCATTATAACGAGGTTTTATCGTAAAATAAAAATAAAAATGTCTGATATTATTATTGTATATACAAAGTCTTGTGTTTAACCAACTATATCCTTTTCTGTAGCGATGAACGATATAAAAGGCGTTATTGAATTATGAAGAATTAGAATTATGAAGGTACCGGTGATTTGTATGACAAACAGTTAAACCTCGTTATACGGCCAAAACTTGTCATGCAAAATCCAGTCAAAAAGGGTTATAAAAAGGTTTGGCGATATATCGATATGAATGTGAACTAGCATCCTATGGACTCATGTCCAAAGTCATTCAATTGTCATAAAAAATCATATATATTCAAATTTATTATAATGTAACGCACTTGCATATTATGCGTTTCATGAGATAATTCTATTTTTGAAAAGATTGAGACGATAGTGAACCCAAAGATGTCGTTACTATTCACAGGGGGCTAAAAGGGCAAATACTGGCTTTTGAAAATCTGTGTGCGATTTAATATCCTCCCGAAAAAAAAAGTGTTCAAATATCCCTTAAATATATTTGACTCTAAAATTTAGTTACCTAGAGTAATTCATGATAATCCTCCATAGCTTTTGTTTTTGTTTTGATAAAACCCCTAGCACAAACATTTTTTTCAACTACTGTGAAATCGGATATTTTCCTGGGGGCCCAAATTTCGTGGTTTCCCAAAAAACGGCCATTTCGTGGGTACATTAAATACTAATACCCAAGAAAGGTAGCAGTATACAATGTATACGGAAAATAACTTCATGTCAAACCTCTAAATACTTAGTGTCTTGAATATACGGACATTTATACAAAAATACATTTAATGGATAAAGAGTACCCACGGAATTAACCAACGAAATTTAAAACCCTACGAAAACTTGTGATTTCACAGTATCCCTTTTCAATGGAATGAAGGCCTACTTTACGACGTCATTATATACATTTGTGACCATACATTTTGTACAATAATAGAATAAGAATATTTGTTGTATTAAAGGTTAAAGGTGAATAAGTTACACGTACGATTGTCTTACACATACGGATATATATACAAATAAACATTAACAAAATCTGTTAAAATACATCAATGAACATAACCAAAGTATAACAAAAATATATAATTTTATACTGAAACTTATTACCAAAAACAACATCTCGTCAAATCACAGCTAGAGTAAGTTGGAATCTGATTGGGTAACGAAGTATGCCGGAATTGGCCGAGATGTCCCGATTGGTATATTTCACCAGTCACGATCCATTACGGGTTATTTCTCACAATTCTGTTAATCCATTTCAAGTAATTTGTGACTTTTGTATAAATTCCAAATTTTCCTTTTTGTCCGCATCCCTCACCATAACTAGTGACTCCATAAACAAACCAGCGCATTGTGCCGTTATCATTCCTGGGGCACAATAAGGGTCCACCACTATCACCGGCACAAGAATCTACACCTCCCTTCTTGTACCCCGCACAAATTTGTTTATCCGTAATTTTGTAGTCAAACGCCTTTCGACATTTCCTTTTATTAACTATTGGCACCTGTGCCTCCTGTAAAACGTCACTTCCGGTTACATCTGTATTCCGTTCCTTGCCCCATCCAACTGTCATACACATAGTTCCGTCAGGGACTTCGTAATCTTCCGGAGCTAGGCATGCGTAACCCTTAACGACGTTGTCACTTTCTCGATAAGATTTTTTCTCTTTGAGTTTCAGTAATGCAATATCATTTGTAATTGTTTCATAGTCAAAATTGTGGTGGGGGAAATCCTTTTCCACCCGTAAATCCACTTCCGTCGTATCGTACGCTTGAATATCGTGTTCCCCAATACGCACAATGACTTTCCGTCTCTTGGAACGTTTCCGGATACAATGGGCGGCCGTTAATACCCAGTTAGGGGCAATAAGGGTTCCACCGCAATACTGCTCCTTCCACCGTGTCAAAATAGCGACCTGCAACAAAATTTCCAAATATCTAAATACCACGTAAATCCCTTTTTACTATGATTGGACAATCCTATATCGAGTCGTCTGAAGTATTAGCTGTAGTGAAATGAATCGCCGCAAGAGGCGTTGCCATCAGCGATAGCAACATGAACGCTGTTCGGTGCAGTTACAGTATTGGAATGTATTTAATCGTGTTATTTTCTGTTGAGGGAGCTATGACATCAGATAGTTGACCCATGATCAAATAGTACCATTGCCATCGAATTAGGCACAACAGATATCATATAAGCCCCTATTCACAATGTAAGACTATAGTTATAGTGTCAATTTAATGTTACAGAGAATTTAATTTTGCCATTTTTTTCAATCGATGTGGCTTAGTGAAATGAAATATTCCGGAGATAGATATTTTTTCATGCTCTCGATATTTTTAATCGATATCGGTATGATCAAGCAATAGCCCTACCTGCCATGGCCAACTATTTGGACGTGCTTCTTGACCACCGACAATTCTGAAGGATCCCGCCATTTTCCTTTCTCCGCAAACATTGCTGATTTCTGTGAGAGTAGGGGCGGCCACATCATGAGTACCTTCTTTGCCTGAAAATCAATTACAACGTTTTTTTAATTAAATCAATGTACATAACGTGACAATATAATCTGTTGTATATCAGATCCTGTAGCAATTCAGCCCTGTCTAGACATTCTTATAAACAAGCGTGTTATTGGCCACGCCACGTAAAGAAGCGTTTTATTGACCACACCACGAAGCTGTCGCGTCCCCTTGCGGACGTGAGCGAAGTCAAAGCTCTCGTATGCAAATAACCTCACCGACGAGTCATCTTAGGCCAAAGTCTTAAAAATATCTGGTTTTCATCCGTTTGAGATCACGAAATCTTTTGCGACCAGTATTTGTATCCGTTACAAGAACTCCACTGCATTTTAAACTCATTCTTTCTTGTGATATAACGTTGGAACATATTTTCAGACGTGTAAATACTGGACTACCATGCAGGGCTACAATGAACCTAAATGATTAGCGCAACATTAAACGGGTATTACTTAACATAAGCTGAAGTATTTTACAAATGAAACTTTTACCGAACCAAACATGAAAATTTAGATTTTAAGCATCCCTGTCCCACTGCACTCTGGTTTTTGGAATCTACAGTTACCTCCCTTTAATTTCGTTTTAGATATAACTAGCACACAGTTGGCCCAGGACACTTCCATGGACCACTTTCTCAGCCGGTTCGAGCGATAGTATATAAATCTGCAGTTCAGGGTTTAAACCTGGTCTTATCCCGCTGTCCACTCGGTACACTGTTATTGATCATATTTTGTTTATTTTATTTTTATTAAAAAAAAATCCATAAAATTCCCGCAAGGTGTGTTTTTATTGCTTTTCAGAAATGACTTATCAAAGCTATAATCATACCGGGAAAACAGTTTACGATGCGTAGTTACAGTATTTGGCAGTGGTATGGGGAGTCTTAAGCTTATCGTAAAAACAGTTTATGTTTATGAAAATTTCACTGAGTATTATCTTCTTCTCATATAATATCTGTGGCTTTTCTTCAATTTTGAATATGAGTTCAACATGTTCTCGGTGAACTGGGCAGCCACGTTTAATAGGAAGCAAGGTTGGATATATGTGGACAAGCCTATAGTCGTCTGCTATTTTTTCTTGTAGAGAACCTCGTCAATTGCAATGTACCCTGTCCAATATTGGTCGAATTTCATATATAAGCTTGCTTTTTTTTTTTCATTTTACATTAAAATCCGACACATACGTTTTTCGACATTCTGTATCCTATTTGTCATATATCTATGAAATAATCCCAGTATAATCTGATAATGTGTCTATAATTAGATGATATAGGTTTTTTATTTTACAGAAGAACCAGGTTATCTTGAAATTGTCACATACATAAGATGAGTTTCAACTTAAGCAAGTCATTTCTATAATCAAAATTAAGAAAATATGTACCACAAACATCATATGACGTCAAAATACCAGAGTTCGTATTGTAATAGAACTTATTTAAAATGTCCGGATTAACGAAATTCATCTGTACATACTTAGCATCCGGAATAACGAAGTCACTTAGTGTAAACAAGTGTCCGGAATACCAAAGTTCCACTGTAGACAATAGCAACTTTCCACCACATACATGAAGTGTCCGGAATAACAAGGTTCCGTTGTATGCATTAAATGTCCAGAACAAGGTTCTAATGTATACATGAAGTGTCCGGATTATAAAGGTTTTATTGTTTATGTTTTAATGAAATGTTCGGAATAACAAGGTTTACTTTCTACATCTATAGTCCGGAATATCAATATTTCACTGTATCCAAAATAACACGGTTCCATGTTATATATTATACTATGTACATGTACGAATTAAGGAGTTTTAAATCTTATTATATGAACTTTCCGAATAACCGACATATTCCTGTTTATATCAAGTTTCCGGATTATCAAGGCTTTAACTGTTGATCCAATAATGAAACGTATGCAATTGAAACCAGAATTTAATAACTTTTTTATGAATAAGTTAGGCAAAATGGAATTTATTATTCAGAATAAATCCCTAAATCAATAACTCTTCGTTGTATTTATCACTGGAAATGTCAAGCGTTTTCAGCGGAAACACAATAGATATTCAAAAACAAAACGCTTTAGTTATAGAAACTCTGCTGTCATTTTAGTCTGATGTCGGTAAAAATAAGGTTTATTTTACAGCACATTCTCGTAACTTCTTGTTCCCTTCATATGGAAATGAGTGTATTTATTATCCCATTTCCGTACCGGATCCGGAAAATCTGTATTGGAAACTGTTAGCCACATTGCTAATGGCAAACACACGTTCTATGGTCGGAAATAAAACTGTACAAGTCTAAACAAATTAACGTTCCGACAGCGATTTCTCTCTCGGGATCATCGAATTCCGGAATTACGCTATACTGCACCGAATACGAAATACTTTCGACCTTTCCGATGACTCATTTGTAGATTGGCAGGTATATACGTAATTACACAGGTATTTAATTCAGATAACATCGTCACGGGTTGTCTGCAGTAAACACTATTATCTTGTGATAACTTACATCAACACTTTTTACGTCCGTTGTTTCTCTCTGTCCTAGGAGTATACTCTTTGTACTAACTGTACACAGTGACTTTTAACACCGAACTACTTTGGGATGGGTCGTGTAATTTAAAACGAAGTAACCAAACAATTAAAGCATGAGACTCCTTTCCCAAAAGGCGACAGTAACAGTCTACTTATAAGTGTGCATAGGTTTCGTCTTATCGCATGTGTTTGATTTTTTTTTATCTTTTCGCGGCGATAAAGACTGAAATTAAAATTTATCAAAAATCGGTGTTTTTTTGTTAATTGAACAACCGCGAGAATAAAGTGTGTTTTGTTACATGTTTGGATGCAATGTTTTATAGTATTTTTCTTTCAACACCATCTACTATAAAATTGCAGCAGCATCAAAAACAGCAACAAAACCATGACACACTAATTAAAGCATCACCACCAACACAGCAAAAACAACACCATCACCGAAACTTACCTAAAGGTCCTGGCGCTTCTACTTGTTTAATAACGGAATCATTTTCTTCGTCGCTTCTTAACGTATATTTTTTCTCACAAAGTGTTCCGGGAAGTTTGCAGTCTCTTTCCTGTTGTATGTAACTGTTCCCACAGATCCTTGGTTCCTTGCACATGCGGAAACGCCGTTTCCGGCACGTCCGCTTGCAGCGTCCCCATAGTGACCACTCGTCGTAGAGAAGATCATAAAGAATCTTTTCCATGAGTCTATTTCTCCTGAATCCTATAACTTTATAAGAGAGTGACGAACACACGCCTCTCTGTTTCCGACAATGTCGCTTTTCCTTAAGGAAGCTCGTGCCACAGTATTTGCGGTTTTTACACCGCCGCACGCGACTCTGTTCACAATGTCTGTTGCAGCTCGACCATTTTGACCACTTAGAATAGTATCGACATAATAACTGATTGTTTTTACCACTCTTCTCTAACGAAACTAATGACGTAGTTCGTGAGGAATTCATTCCTGCATCAATTAAGTTGTGTGGCTTGCCCTCCGATATTTCCGCTCTCTGTAAATAAAAAAACAACTGAAATTTGTGTTTTTATTACAGGACACAACAATGCAATTGTACATACATATTAAAATCGTATAACGGAGCCAGAGTGATGCCAATTCTACAGAGTAAGTGCATTTTGGGATGAGAGAGAAAACTGATGTGCTGTATCCCATTTCATGATTGCTGGGGGCGACTTACAACGAGTTTTAGAGCCATGTGCAATCGGTATTTTCATGCGTTTTGACTTTTTCTTTTCTACAACATGCATGTATATCCGTTGGCACCGACTTCCGTTTCCACATTTTCTACAGTGAAGCCCTGTAGGATTTTTAAGACTCTGTTAATCAAGTATACCAATATTAAATCAAGATGTGAACTAATTGCAGGCCAACCATACATCCGGAGCACCTCTCGCTAAAATGTGACTATACGGATAAAAATCAAATATCGGTCAGTCGTACTAGGTGCATTCGGAACACCTCGCGTCCAAATACATATTTTAATTGAGTGTAGGTCATTCATACTACAGGAATGCAGATCACTTTGCGTCTGAATATATATTAATCATTTGCGTCTGAATATATATCAATCAAGATAAAAATATAGTTCATGTCTACATTCGGAACTAGGGCCGCGCTGGTAGAGTTGTTAAGGACTCTGACCGTCAGCCATCTCTACCCCTCCACCACAGGGTCGCGGGTTCGAGACCTACGTGGGGCAGTCGCCGGGTACCTACAGCAGGTTGGTGGTTTTTTTCCGGGTACTTCGGCTTTCCTCCACTACTCAAACCTGACACGTCCTTAAATGTCAATAGGACGGTAAAACACAAACAAACCATCAATCGGACCACTTCGCACCTCGCACCTGTAGTTATCAATTATGGTGTTACGAAAGGTTTTAACCCAAAATAAACGAGGTATATGTATATATGTACCATTTAAATAGAATTGGGCGGAAAATTAAACTTAATAATCAATTAAAGTTGTCCATTATATTAAAACCATTAAATACATAATGCGGAACAGTGAACGGTTAGGTTGATAGCGTACTCTTGTGGTTGGCTGTCCTGGTGGAAATTTAAGTCAGAAAGCCCGGAACACCGTCCGGTAGGGAGTCTCCGTAATTGGTTTTTAAAGTTATTGACTACGTCGATGGGCGTTAATTTGCCCGCAGCTGACCATTGATGATCGCTGATGTGGCGATTGTCACCGATGGTCACTGTGGGCAAGCGAACGGTTGACCCTTATCTGATTAGCTGAGTTAAGGAAAGCGAGAGGTAGCTCATAGTTCTTCTTATGTGTTGAAAAGCATCTCGGGGGAACTCGCGTTAAATCCGCATAAGGCTCTAGAAAAGAATTCAATAAGACCATGACAACTCCAGTAATTATTTTGACGTAAACTTGTACGTATTATCCCTACGTAAATGGACAAAGAATTCGTGTCAGCCAACAAGATGAATCACCCATTTTACAGACTTTTATCAAGTGACCACTCTTTGTGAATCTATAGGTTTTTACGACCACGGACAAGTTGAAAGATTTTAAGGGGCGTTTTATTTTTCATTTGAAAGTTATAAATCGCTCGTTTGTGTGAGAGAGAGCACCCTGAGAGATTATATGTGTTACTAGTATAACCGCGATTTCGATTCTAGCCGATAAGGACCCGAAGTATACGAGTACGACCCTATTTGTGGTCATAAAACGGTGATATCGGCAATAACCCCTTCAAAATCTGTAGACGCTTTTTTTTATTGATACACGTAGAATTTAACTGTTGTCATACCTTGCACCAATACGAACGTGGTTTTAAATGATGTCGTAGTAACAGACGCTTGTATATCTGGATGTTGCAATGTCGAAGGTTTATTTGTTTGTTATTTGTTTGGGTGTTTACGTCAAGATTGACAACGGCTACGGCTGTAATGTCATCGTGGTATTATAGTGACGGTACTGGTAGGGCTACAACGATACTAAACTGGCTACAAGCCCCTAAGTTCTTTATGAAGAATTTCTCAACTGCATTTTACTACTAGCCTATCTCCCCCTAGTTTAAAACAGACATCCAAATGATCAAAATTATTAGAGTTATTTTTTTTCTCTAAAATATTCAATCTTCTAGAGACGGGGGGGGGGGGGGGGGGGGCAGTCTACAACGATACATTAACAAGACGATACGATACGTACCACGATACTGTGGTCACGATACTTATAGAAACAGAAGAAGCAAAGATTTAAGTAATCTTGCAAATTTTTAATTCCAATGTATCAACTATAGACTTGGTCCAAAATTGGCATGACTCTAAAGTTTCACACAATTCACGTCGTTTGAGGTGCATGATGAGCTGGAGCTGTCACTCGCAATGAGGAGATAAAATTCAGAAACGAAAAATTCCGGAAAATATCGTTTCCTCCCAAAAAAATATTGTGTATCGTACTGTTTTCAAAATATTGCGATATATCATCGCACGATATATCGTTGCCCTAATTGACGGGAAAATATGAGTGTGGAAGTTCTGACGGTTTCTCAATTTTCCTATTTTGTTATTGTCGACAATAAAACTGGTTTAAAATAAACGTAACCAAGAAGTGATTTCTCTCAACACCACTTCAGCAAAGGCGCACGAGTAAGCCGTGATAATGATACAACAGGAACGGGAAGTCCCAGAGTTTTTAAGCAATATTTATCAAGTTGCATTTGTCCGATGGACCACAATTATAAACAAATGCTGCGATCTTCGTCTTTCTGAGTCACCTAATTCCGAATATTAACTAAAACGCATTTAGGAACATCGTTTCGACATGTTATTACTCAACATTGCCAAATTCTTGTTTTAATCCTGTTGTTTTTTTCAAAGTTTCTTACATAATAAAAAAAGACATCGTTTTTGGCACAATGTGCAAGCTCGTTATAAATTTTGTTCCATAATTAAGCATGACCTTGACCTCGTTCTGACTAGCGTAACACGCAATAGGCACGCGAGACGTAAGGCATGCAACAAACATGGCTGCACGTTCCGACATCATTTCTAGTTTACACAAGACAGCATGTCCATATGCACATGAGCTGTTTGAAGGATCCGTTCTCTTGTCTAAATATATTGCCACGAACGAAATGATTATGATGTTATATTAAGCAGACCTGATGCGAATATTTCGGCACATTTTTGTTGAAGTCCTGGCAATAGTACATGTGTCAAATTTTGATACTCTATAAATAAAATAAAAAGTGCATGAAAAGGTCTATAGCTGTGCACGGTCAAATATAAATCATTTAATGAGTGACGTCATTTCTCCATTCGTAACCTCGGTTTTAATTCATAATGGGTTGGCAATCGTTAAATATCGGCTAATTCACTCAGAGTACGGAATCAAACTGATTCCTGGCTTTGACGGACTTTGCCGAGATGTTACGCAGGATGTTTCAGCAATCCGTAGATTACCGTAATGCACCGAAGTGATGCGATTGGACGTTGATGTTAATGGGGGTGGTGGTATTTTAGACAAATACCGATTGTCTAATTCCAACTTTCGATCAACCACAGCGGTCAAATTTATTTAATAGAAGCCAAAAAGGAATTTGGTCTTGTACGGGTTCGTGATATTCATTTCAATGTACAAAACACGAAAGAACTCTTTGAATGAATCCCCGTGACAAACAATATTAAGTGCTTACAGGAAGTAGGCCTCTATAATAGAATATAGCATTTAAACTACTTATACGATCTTGATACAAACATTATACAATATTTAACCTTTTAGCTGCTTTTGATGTCTTTTGAGTTTCTTTTTGACGCTAAAGGCCCAAACTGTCCTTCTTGTGTCGAGGGGCCATTCGGCCTTACTAAATAAACAAACAAATAATCAAACACTACAGTTTGAGTAACAGTATCGTTTTACTCAGTGACTGACCTTTTTGAGTCAAAGATACTTGAAATTGGAAATGCGTATATTTACATTCGAAATCGTTTTGTGGCCTCATTCAAACTATTGTATTCCGTCTTTGCGTATTGCAGAGTTATTTTCTCTTGAAAGTATGATTGTTACGTCATTTTTTTGTGAGAGTAACGTCATCAATTTTTGAGAAAACGACGTAATTTTCTCACACAAACCAATGACGTAACAATCAATACCTGCTCTCAAGAGAAGATAACTCTGCAATACGCAAAGACGGAATATTAGCCCTTGTAGCAATATGTGAAGAAAAAAATCAATATCAAATGACTAACCGCAAATATGCAAATGAGGAATGACTAACGGAAATTACGAAATCTCCTTTTAGTGAATGAAAGTAAAATATATATATATCTTAGATGACTAACATGGGTGATTAAGTTAACCGGGAGCGTCTTGATAGACAAATAATTCACTTAGGCAAACTACTCAGCCATTAGACAAATGAATAATTTCGTACATAAAGCACATACATTGTATATACGTAAAACACAACTCGTCAGAGTATACGTACTACGTGTACCTGTTACACACTCTCTAAACGACACGACTGAATTACAAAACATTTTGGCCACTTAGTAATTAATGAATAGTTCATGATGCACATCTAATAAGATTAAAAAGAAATCATTTCTTCGTGTGACTTAGAATCCGGAAGAAAGATTTATTTTTTCTATAGCCGATGGTGTAACGTCCTTCTATAACAGATATACGGTTATACATGTATGAATACGGTAGACCGACCCCTGTTTCTAGAATATGATATTGATATTAAATCATACAGGAAAAAAACCTCTAATAATTTTGATCACTTGGGGGGGGGGGGGGGGGGGGGCTCTCTAAACTAAGAGGAGATAAGCTAGTAGTAGAAAGCTTGAGCTAGTCTTCTAAGACGGGTTCCGTAGGAGACAACGCAAAAAAACAAAAATGCAGGGAGACGTTAACGATGTTTGGTTTGTTTGGGGTTTAACGACCTCGTAACAGCTAAGGTCATATGAGGTCGGGTGCCGAGGGAGAAATCGCTAAAACCAGGAAAAATATAACAAAATGAAACAAATGAAA